TATTAAACGTAAAAAAAAGAGAAAAAGATACATTTGAAATTGAATTAATTTAAAGCCTATAGTGGCAATATCTGGAGATGACTGATTTATGTTACACACTCATCAGATAACAGGAAAATGATTTCTTATGTGTAAGGTTTTTAAAATGTGCTGTTTTAAGGGTTGAATAAGCAGTATTGTTACTCTGTGTGCATAATTGTTCAATTTTCGCATATTGTGTTCTTGTGGTGACCCATAAGTAAGACTGAAAGAGACATTCACCAGAGGACTGTACCTTTAAGGGAGAGGTGTGAGGGGATGCCGGTTCCGGGTTAACGTAGTGTAGCCGTTTTCTGACCTCACTCGCTGTACAGTGTGTTATTATGTTGAAGTGAAGAGTAAAGCTGACTCATCTCTGTCTCTTGTCTCCTCACTTATTGCACTCCACATTCTATCATTTCAGCTGATGTCAACATGGCCCCAGCTGGACTTCCTCTTCAGTGGATCATTGTCTTGGGTGTCAGCTTCGTTAATTCATTCATTTTATAAGGAGTCTGGTCTAGACATGCTCTGTTCAAGGGCCTTGAGATAACTTCTGTTGTGATCTGATGCTATACAAATCAATTTGAATTAATTGTTCTTGTACTCGTGTGCACATGCAAAAGCTGATAATTAAATACTTCATTTGGCAAAATTTTATAAAATCTTTCACCCATATTGTAATGTGATATGATCTAACTGTGTTTGTTTTTTTATTTAAATTCTCAGAAACACATTGAGGGAGAACCCTCATTTACAATGGTGCAGAGGTATGAACATAAAATAAAAAACATAGAAACAGAATAAGAGCAGAAACAATGAAAATATCTGATTAGTTAGGAGGTAGCAGTAAAGATGAATACATGTCTAAAATACAGCTAAAGTTAAAAGGTGAAGGTTCAGAAATGTAAAAAGAGATAAACAATAAAAAGATTTATTTATACAGTGGTATTAATGAGGTGACTGGTGGTTTTGAAGGTGTTTTTAGAGGAAGGTAAATGATAGCTGTAGATTTAGAGAGGCTACATGAATAGAATCTACACAGAAATAAAGGATGATTTCAATTACTTACAAATAATAAAATAATTACAATTACTTTCTCTTTCTTTCTGTCGTCTGTCTTTGTTCTGCTTATTCTCAACGTTCTGCGGATGTGGGTAGAATACACACTGACACAGGAAGTTCACAGAGTGTGAAACTGCACAAACAAAGCAAAAAAGCAAGTTCAAAACATAGAAGATATATTTATTGAATTTATTTTTATTTATTTCTTCTTTCTTATTATTTATATCTATGGTTCAGCTGACTGACGGACTGGGTTTCAAGGACTGCAGAGTTCTGCTTTTCCATCACTGTATTATGTTTCTCTTTCTGATATTTATTCAATTAATTAATTTCATTATTCTGGGTTACTTTCATGTGTTTCTACATTTCCAGGTCATATGAACTTTCTCAGTTTGTCCAGAGGAAATATGTTTAGTCTCTTTAGCATTGACCCGGTTTATCATCTTCATGAGTAGATTTATTTCGAAAAGAAAGCCTAGTTTCGTCCTCAGCTTTGATACCAGCATGTCAATATGGACTTCAAAAGTCATACCTAAATATTTATATTATTGTACTCTCTTGATTATAGTAGAACTAATTTCAAGACTATCACAGCAAAAAGTACTACGTGTCATAATGAAGACAAGAGGAGTTCATTCGCACACTCCCATTGTGTCTCAGTTACTTTCTCTTTCTTTCTGTGGTCTGTGTTTGTTCTGCTTATTCTCAACGTCTTACGGATATGGGTAGAATACCCACAGTTACAGGAATCAACAGGGAACGAATCAGTCTGAGGGAGGTGTGGAGCGGTGGGGTTTTTGTGTGCAGGGAGTTTTAGTATACTTTGAAAAACAATATCAAATTCTCATACTACCTCAGTTCTTGTCAGAGGAAGATCCACACAACATCACATTGGAGAGTTTCCATTTGTCACACTGTAGGTAAGAGTTGCTTAAAACTTGAATGTTAAATGTTCCTAATTTCATTCTTTACTGTTTTCACAATGTGCAGATTATGATTATGGACAAAGTGACTATGTTATAATTTTACTCAATTGAAAGTAGACTGGCATTATTATGTAGACATTTTGAACTTTTTTTTTTTAGAGTAAATGGCATTGACGGATGTGTTGAAAACTTTAACTGAACACTTAGCCTACCTGTATCTAATCTCAACATTTACGCATGTCAACTTTTGCTCAGCAAGATTCATTCGCCTCTCCTAACCTTCTTGTGATGTGGTCAACAAACTGAATTCACCTGTATTACAGGGTCAAATTCCTTCAGACGAATATTGAATATTTAATTCAAGAGCTGTTTGTTTTCAACAGTTGCCGTCACTGTTAATAACCAGAGACGCTTCATTAAAGTCACCAGTTAACACAGTCACTCATCAAAAGATGTTTATGTTCCTCACAAAGTTTGTGAAGATTGAGCAACTGGACATTTTTGGTGGACTGCTAAAGGAAAAGTTCACTCAGCTTTCTTCATACAGAACTCTTCTACTCATGCTCAAACTCTGTTGGCTCACAGAAATAGGGGCTGAAAGGAGGGAGGTCTGCAGTTGGACCTTTTTAGATCCCACTGGTGTACTGACACAGAAATAAGAGACACAGTGAAACCAAAGAAAGACCTAACTTTCTATCAAGTAAATATGTTTTATTTGTGTGTTTGTTTAAACAACCAGATTAAAGCCTTTTCTCTTTTTGTATTTTCAGGAGTCTACAATGATGTGCCCAAAGACAGAGCTCCATAATGGACTGTCCTTCGGGACCCGCAGTGTTTTGCTGTGTCTGATACTGACTTTTACAGGTAATTTCCACACAAAACACTCCAGTAACACATTAATACATACAATTATTACATGTTTACAGTCATACTGGTTGCTCTGTGAAGGTTTGAGCTTAATGCTAATGCCAACACGCTGACATGCTCACAATGATAATGATTTGTAGCAGGTGTAATTTCGTCTTGTCCACCGTCTTAGTTTAGCATGTTAGCACGCTTTTTTGATATTTTGTCATAAAGGTTTTGACAAACAGAAAGTTTGACCTTTCAGAGACTCTGGAGGAAGAGTCAGAATTTAATGGGAACCAAACAAAGTGACAGACTGATCGACCATCATAGCCACCCCTAACAATTTCCAGTAAAACCATCAAATGATGGTACAGTCACGTGTAACTATAAAACAAAAACTGTGGTCAACAAAACCAAATTCGAAAGAGCCTTTTTAAAACCATACACATTATTCTGCTGTCTGATATTTTTGTTTGAAGGTTGAAATGTGATGAGTCTGAGTCAGATACAGACTGAGGTTCCAGCGGTCGATGCTATAAAATCTTCTCTATCTGTGTTTAGGACTTATATTTTTCCTTGTTTTTAATGCAGTTTTATGAAATAATTACTTAGTTTCGGTATATAAAAATGAATCCATTCAGTTTGATAACATGTATTATAACTATACTACTGTTTCTTGTTTGTTCTTTAGTTTGCGTTGCAGAGCAGTCAGAGTTGATTTGTTCACATCAACCAATCGTAGCCCTGGCTGGTGATGATGTCATTCTACCATGTTACCTTGATCCTCCAATCAGTGCCAGTTCTAAGACAGTGGTGTGGACCAGACCTGGTTTAGACCCAAAGTACATCCATGTTCACTATTCACCAGTGTATCTACGTCAAAATCCATCTTACAATAACAGAACGAGACTGTTTGACGATGAACTGCAGAATGGAAACGTCTCCATGAAAATCTTCAAAGTGAAAATCTCTGATGCAGGAAAATACTTTTGCACCCTTCGATCAATGTTGAAGGAAGCTTCCATCCAACTCACTGTCGGTAAGTCAGACTTTCTGAAGATGATGAATTACACATTTCTGCTGACTGCAAAGATCAGTAATGTAACTTTATATTAGAAGTAAGCAGCCATGATAAGACACAAAGAAAACAAAGTCAAACTGATAGAAGATGAGCAGTTTAAAATATAAAGTCGGAGTAAAATCAACATTGACTGGAAGAAACATTAAAGGTGTCCTGTGGAGTTTTATTGGAAACAAACTACAGTTCAGTCTTCTTACTGTCTTTGTTGGTCTGTTGCTGTTTCTAGTCACATTACTGCCACCTGTTGGTCACATTGTTCATTGTGTCACCTGCACAAGATAAAGCAAACAGAGACTCACTGATAAAAACACTGTTTCACATAATAACAGTTGATGGTGATGATTTTCTATAAAAGGTAGCAGTGCAGAGAAGAAGACTGCAAATGTTTGATGAGGTAGTCAATACATTCAACATGTTTGTAAAAGTTTAAAGATGTTTTGGTGGGAAATGTTAAGTTTTACAGGTTTTGTAATATAGTTTGACTGTGAGACAAGTTTGATCTGAATCCACTGCTTGAAATTCCTCCTCTCCTCTCACCAGGTGCCGTATCCACTCCCATCATAGAGGTTGTCGCATACAGCACAACAAATTCAGTTTTACAGTGTGAGTCTAAAGGCTGGTATCCAGAGCCTGAGGTGGTCTGGCTGGACGGTGAGGGAAACCTCCTCTCTGCTGGACCTACAGAGACAGTCAGAGGTCCTGATGACCTCTATACTGTCAGCAGCAGAGTGACTGTGGAGAACATACACCACAACTTCACCTGTAGAGTCCAACAGAAGGACATCAACCAGACCAGAGAGACACACTTCAATTTTATAGGTTATAATGAACTCTAAATATATTAAACATATTGTCACTGTTGAGCTCTAGTTTGATTATAAAATCTCACTCTGTTCTCTGTTGTGTCTTTTCTGCTAAATTCTTCACAGATGGGTCCGTTCCTGCTGGGACTATTGTTGTCACTGTTAGCGTTCCCGTATTCGTGGTGATCCTTGCTATTTTCATCTGCTGGAAGTGCTGTTCAAAGTCTTAAAGTATGTTTTAACTTTATTGTTGTACACTTTATACTCTTATTGCATATTTTTACATTGTATTTTATGCTTAATTTATAACAGATTTATTTTTCTGTTGGTACATAGGGACCAGGAAGAACCTGGAAAGCATAATGCAGAATATCAGAAATGTGGTACCCCTACAGTCCAGTCCAGCGAACTCAAGGACCCCTTCATCAACACCACCATTTATGTTCCAAATGTATTCATTTGAATTCATTTCAAACTGGATGTTTCTTAAAGGTTCAATGTGTAACATTTTGGGTGATCTATTGGCAGAAAATGTTAAATATTAAATATAATATTCAGAGGTATGTTTTCATTATTACATATAAAGCAACCAGCAGCTGTCAGATAGCAAAAAGTATTATGTGTGATAATAAAGACAAGAGTTTATTCCTACGCTGACGATGTGTCTCAATTACTTTCTCTTTCTGTGGTGTTTTTTTCTGCTCACACTGAATGTCTCAAGTTCAACAAGGCCACACAATGAGAAACTGCATAAAGAAAGCCAAAAACTTCACTTTTGCATTGTGAATGTGTATTATTTTTATTTTCTATCTTCAGAACTCTAGATTCAGCTAACTGGTGGACTACATTTCAGGGATTTCTGCTTTTCCATTACTATGTTATCTTCTTTCTTCTAATACTTATTTAATTCATTAATTTGATTATTCTGGGTTAATGGATGTGCATTTATAGAATGGGGTATGTGTGGACATAACAAACAGGATCTTCATAAACTGAAACTCCCTCTCAGATCAACATTTAATTAAGTGGCCAGTTATATGCAGTTTCATAATTAAGATTTATTTGAAAGAATTAGTTGATTTTTGTAATAAGACGTTTTAGCTTTGGGGATAAAAGTTTTTACAGCCATATTTAACTTATGTTGATAAGTTAACTTAACTTACTTATTGATCCAACAAACAAAACAAAGAGGGAAACTGCTTGAATGCTTTTAAATTTAATTCAATTTCTAAAAAGAAAAAAAAAAATGTCAACCTAGTGAACAAGTGTACTATAACATGGTGGCTACCAATGTACAAAGTTTTCAGCGACAGAATGAAACTGCAGAGAAACCCTGTGCCATCCCTGTCCACGTATAGCCATTACAAGTAAAAACAAACAAGAACTGTGAGTCTGCATTCACTAAATCAATTTCCTACAACACCACCAGGATCCTACTGAAACCTGTGACATTAGTGTAGTGGAAATTTCACACATTAATTTATCCCACCGAGATCTTGAAATGGTCTCCACCCCTTATTTGGTCTCTTTACAAGGTGATTACATAGTGAATGATTACCTTTAACAATGGCTCTTTGATTTATGTGAGGCAGAAGCAATGTCTTCAACTGCTCCAAGGCTGAGGTGATATACTCTTTTACCTAGTCTCATGTAGAGTTGCACTATATTTCCCAAAATCAGAACTTGCTCCACAAACAATCAAAAACTATTGAAAGCAACACTTTGACGATGGAGACATCTACTCCTGAGTCTAATCTCACAATACCACTTAGTACATTAACAGTTAACCTAAAGTTGTCTTAATTCTAGTGTTAACTGTAAATATCATCAGTATAGAACAACTGGTTTGTCATTGTCATCATTTATCATCTCCCTATGTGTCTGTATCTGTGTCTTTGTGCTATTCAGTGCTCTGACCTGCCTCCACTGTCTCCTATGGTTGTTCCTGTGGTCCTTCTGTTGGTGCCTCTGGCTAAGACTCCTCTGGATCTTGTCCTTCTCACCAGATCGGATAAGGGAGGAAGGTCGAGGAATCTGAGTGCCATCTCTCTCCTGTTCTCTTTGTTTTCTCATCTGGTTAAATCCACGTTCCCCTTGTTTCTTTCAACGTGCAAGATGTATGTCCAGACAGTCACCAACCCCAGCCTGGTAATGTCACCATCACATTCACGTCCTTTTGGCTCCGCAGCCTGTGGTTGTAGATGTCTGCTAGTGACAAAAAAAGATTTCCTGGGAGAAGCAAAGTTAGTTTGTCCCTGCCCTTTCTCAGTCACTGTTGTAGGATTCAGAGAGATTGGACAGGTCAGGGTACAGTAGGTCTTCCTGTAGGCATTCTTGCAGGCAGGAGACAGCATATGGAATAGGGTTAACCCTTCTTCTGGCCCTACATTTCTCTTCTCCATCTTTCTATTTCTCTCCCATATCTGGAAGGTCTGCCAGTTTATAATTTTCTTCCCTACTTTCCTGTCCTCTTTCTTCAAACATTACTCTATACCATCTTTAAGCAATCTGTTCTATGTGTACCAATGATAGACAACACAAACTAGTTACATGGTGCCAAATTTGAACATCCTCATTCTACATTGTTTCTCCATTTTTCTGAAATTTCAGCAATGCCTGTATTTAAGGTAAGGAATTTAATTTCCCCAGTTTGATCCCCATTTCTACCAAAGACGGGTACGGGTTTGCTTTTAACTTTAATGGGCTTATCAGTCACACTATTCTCTATTCTTATCGTACACACAAAACCTTTGGACACCTCAGTTCAGCCAGACTGAGTCACCGCAAAGTTTATATCTTTTACTTCCTTATCACACTCATGTGCCCTTATTATAGTTGGTGGGACTTTTTGTTTTTAGGACTTTTCTCTTTCCCCAAATCCTCACTAAAGTCCACCTCTATCGTGGTTTACTGTCCACTAGGCATTACAGTACTTTACATTATTTTCTTAGTTACTTCTCTCATATATTTATTCAACATTTTCCGTTTATCCTGTTTGTCTTTTTTCTTTTTTTCTTTTAGTCCTTTTAGTTGTCTTTTTTATTTATTTATTTATTTTTAGCTTTAATGGTTACACCTGAAACCGCGTTTCCACCACCTTCATAGGCTTTAATATGGAAAACTCCCACCACCTCTTATAGGATTTATTATGGGACTACACAAGTTCCAACTTGGGAACACAACAGACCAGTCACAACCACTCAGGAATATGCACTGTCTACCTAGGCTTTTTCACTCTTGAATTGATTCAAAACACTGTACTCACTTTTCCAATGGATGGAGCGGTCACTGTCCACCACCTGAGTCTGACATCAGGTGGGATCCTGTCCTCCGTTTGTCAGAGCTGAACTTTCCCTGCCGGCAGTTACGTCCATCCCATCCTCGTCGCCAAAATGTAGGGGAAATTCTTCCCTAATATGGAGAGTTGCTAGTTCTCTGAAGAATTACGAACCCAGTGTGATGAATCAAATTCCTTTACTCATGCAGCATGAAGAGAAGACCACAGCATAGACACAACATAATGAACTCCCTTATATAACTCTCAGTACATCAATTAAACAGGAAAATATCTGTTGTCCTAATGTAAAATCCACATGATGGGTTTGAGGTCTCTCACACAAATGATCCTGTGATCTGACCCTGTAACTGTGAACAGATGCTTACCAGTCACCCCCTACCATAAAAGCACAACCCCCTAACCAAACTGTACATTTACTACCCCTCCTAAAACATTCATCTACCACAAGACGATGTGGCAACTTGGGTGACGTCTGACAAACATACAATATCTATGGATCTGTGTACGCCGATTATTGATAATAAATTGTGAAGGACATACAAATTACTGGAGTTTCCTGGGAGAGACAATGAAACAGGAAGGTGCTGGGAGAAACCCGGGGAAAACAGGGAGTGTTGGCAGGTTTGATGAGGATCATGTTAGCTTAGAATGAGCCAGAGACAGAATTTACACTTACATTTGATATATATCAGAGATTCTGACATCAAAGTTTGAATCTTAAGTGATTTTGTTTGTTCTGTACAGTCGACATCTATTGCATGGCTGTTGGTCCTGGGAGGACTCCTCTGTTGCCATTCTTCCACTTGCTTCCAATGAATGTTGTTGAGCCAGTTAAACTTTGTCTTTCAGTGTGACGGCCATGTCTCCTGTGTCTTCCTGCCCTGCCCTCCCCTTCTGTAACAGGTAGGTGTGTGCAGCGGACTCCAGTCACTAATATGGGCTGGGTCTGTATAAACAGGGACCAGAGTTGCAGCTGTGTGGCAGTGGGTCATCCAGCAGTGTCCACGCTGTGTGCCAGAGACGAGAGCTGTGTTCAGATGAAAGCGGTCCTCCCTGATAGCAGGTCTGTGTGATTGTTTTTGTTAAGTTTGGGTTAAATGAGTTAAATCTGTAGTTACACAGAATCTGCTTCTCCTTAGTGTTTTTAAAAGGAAAGCTAGTTTTCAGTTTGCATTTTCCTTCATATTGAAAGTATTGTTTCTGTTTAATCTGGTAATAAAATCCCTGTTTGGATTGAAACAAACTTTTTTGTTTTTATTTAATTGTGTTACTCCCCACAACCCCTAGACAATTCGGGGACATAACATTCAGTCTATGTGAGCAGGTGTTGTCTTTGAGCCAGTGAAAAGGCTGCAGACACACAGTGAAGAAGGGAGATCTTAATGATGTTGGTGTCCAGTCTAAGATATGAGCTGTGACTGAAGATTCCTGCTTTCATTTCATGGATTGCCACTTTAGCACTTTAAAAGAATCTGACCTGTTTTGTAAAATGTCAACAGGTTGTGGTCCAACTTTGGGCTGCGGGCCTCACAAAGACGTTTTGTATTATTACTGTGAACTTGTGATGATATTAGTGGCTTCATGTATTTACAGCTGTGGCTGTTAACTCTGTGTTAACAAACCATGTTTTAGGCTTAAACGCAGAAAGACAACATTGTTCATGGAGCCTCAAACTCTAAAAGCGATAATACCTTGACCTATGACTCTAGTGCAGCAATAAAAGTAGGCTGTCTTTGTGTTTATCCAGACTTTGATCGTGCAGCTACCTCCCTGAGTTGAGGCTCCCTGACACTCAATCAACAGGTATGTAGATTTTTTACATCAAACACTTAATAATACATTATATTAGGGATTTCTTTAACATGCCATTATTGTAATTATTTTACTGTGTTTCTGGAATAAAAGTCAAACTGTCAACAGTCTTTTTCTGCAGTATTATTTCATTCATGTGGCTACAGTAGTGAACGCTGTGGTAATCTGGGACCAATCAGCATTTTACTTTGTATTCACACATATCCAACCTGCTTTCCTCTTGTCTTAACTACAATGTTCAACTCTGTTTTATTTGTCCTGAGGTTTTTGAACGTATTAAAGGGAGCCCAACCTGACAGGAAACCACCTGGGTCTCTGTCCTCAGACTGGCCTCCATCAGACTTGGAGGCTGCTGGTCCCGGGCCGGCTGTGTTCACACTGTGCTCAGCTAGCACATCAGTGAATTATTTTTATGTTTCTATACTTCAGAAGTCGTTGATGTAGTACTCTGACTTACTATAACAACATTAGATTCAGTGACCCTTCACATTGTGACTTTCCACAACACACATCTCGTGTCTGCAGTTTCAGATGAAAGTCAAACAAAAACAAAAGAAGAGAGACAGTGAAACCAAAGAGAAACTAAAATCGACTCTAGAGTTTCTACCCTGTTCAACCTCATTTTCCATTGAAAACAGGGAAACCTAACCCTAACCACCTAACCCTGTCCCCCTAACCCTAACCAGACTAATGCCTTTTTTTATTTTCAGAAGTCTACAATGCTGTCCAGTGATGGACTGTCCTTCATGAAATACAGGGTTTTAATGTGTCTGATTCTGACCTTTGAAGGTAAATTCCACACAAAACACTCCAGTAACACATTGATGAGAGAACACAGATTACAGGTTTCAGTGACTAAAAAAAAAAGACAGAGACAAAGTACACAATAACAACAGTAGCAACAACTAGAGTAACAGGAATGACTGGTGATGGTGAACAGGAAGAAGATGATGACGACGACAACAGCCACAACGATGGGGGACAAAGGATAATAATAATAATAATAATAATAATAATATCAGTAATATTAGCAGTGGTGGTCAAGCAGGAGAAGGAAGAATTAGAAGGAGAAACCAACAAGACTTCCCCAGCCAGAAATATTTTAAAACTTTACACTTTATGATGCTGTCTGATATTTGTGTTTGAAGCTCAAACTGTGATGAGTGTGAGTCAGATACAGACTCTGAGGCTCCAGCGGTTGATTGTCTTTGTTTTTGATGCAGTTTTATTAAATGTTTTCTTACTTTTAGAAAGTAAAAATGAATCCATTCAGTCTGATGACATGTATTATAACTATACTACTGTTTCTTGTTTGTTCTTTAGTTTGCGTTGCAGGGCAGTCAGAGTTGATTTGTTCACATCAACCAATCGTAGCCCTGGCTGGTGATGATGTCATTCTACCATGTTACCTTGATCCTCCAATCAGTGCCAGTTCTGAGACAGTGGAGTGGACCAGACCTGGTTTAGACCGAAAGTACATCCATGTTCACCATAATGGACGACTGATTTATCTACATCAAAATCCATCTTATTTTCTCCGAACGAGACTGTTTGTGGATAAACTGCAGAATGGAAACGTCTCCATGAAAATCTTCAAAGTGAAAATCTCTGATGCAGGAAATTATTTTTGCATCCTTGAATCAATGTTGAAGGAAGCTTCCATCCAACTCACTGTTGGTAAGTCAGACTTTCTGAAGATGATGAATTACACATTTCTGCTGACTGCAAAGATCAGTAATGTAACTTTATATTAGAAGTAAGCAGCCATGATAAGACACAAAGAAAACAGTGCTGTAAGTTATTTGTTGGATCTGAATCCACTGTTTGAAATTCCTCCTCTCTTCTCATCAGGTGCTGCCTCCACTCCCATCATAGAGGTTGTCTCCAATAACAGTAGAAGTGTAGTTCTACAGTGTGAGTCTAAAGGCTGGTATCCAGAGCCTGAGGTGGTCTGGCTGGACGGTGAGGGAAACCTCCTCTCTGCTGGACCTACAGAGACAGTCAGAGGTCCTGATGACCTCTATACTGTCAGCAGCAGAGTGACTGTGGAGAAGAGACACAGCAACAACTTCACCTGTAGAGTCCAACAGAAGGACATCAACCAGACCAGAGAGACACACATCTATGTTCCAGGTTATAAAGAGCTCTTAAATATATTAAACATATTGTCACTGTTGAGCTCTAGTTTGATTCAATAATGTCATTCTGTTCTCTCTTCAACCTTTTCAGATGATTCATTCACAGTTCAGTTGTCTCCTGATTGGATTCAGATCATCATCATCATCATCCTCATCATTATTATCATCATCATCATCACCATCATCAGACTTATTTACATTTATGTGCTGCTCATTATCACTCTGACAACACGTAAGTCACATATTTATTTTCCTTTTTTATACCAAGTTACTGTCAATGTTCATTGATTAGAAAAAACACATGAACACAACAACTTCAACACTTTCCTGCTTCTGTTGGCTCACAGGCTCAAAAAGGATCCGGGACAGAGTTATTTCACAGTGGGAGAGATGGATCAACAACTGGATGAAAAAGAGGCAGCGTTTGTCATTCCAACGAAGCCAACAGTGATGAAGAAACAAAATGCTGATGGGATTGTAAGCAACTGGACAGTTCAGAGATCGCAGACAGAGGAAATATCAGGAGCAGGAAATAACACTGAAGACACAGGAACTCAAGAAAGACATTGATGTAAGTTGTACATGTTGTTCATATTGTATATTTTAATTGTCTGATTTTATTTACCTCATTGTTGTCCTGAAATGCTTTCTCACTTTCACACTCATTCATTGATTAGACAAAGGCACAAAAACACAGTTTACAGTTTTTCTTCTTAGAAAATGTTATTCCATTCAGCACAATTGTTGTTCCCATGTGTATGTTTGTCACTGAACCGTTGACTCTTACTGGTTGTTCTGGGTGCCTGTTACAGAGGAGGCCAGGATCAGTGTAACAAATACTGCAATGCCGGAACACTGACCATCACTAACATGAGGGCTGAGAAGAAAATTAAATTCTCTATTTTCCTCTGAGACTTTTATTTCTTTTTTTTTCTATTGAGATTCAGCAAAATAAGTAAAGTACAACGCACATTTTAACTGATGAAATGTTAAATTTTTATAATTTGTTGCGTAATTCAATTCAGGTTTGTAGTAATAATATTAACTGTAATAATAATAATAATAACAATAATTTCCGTGATATTCTCAATGGGAGTCAAGCAGGACCATGGCAGCAGGCTTCACCAGGATCCATGAGAATCTGCGAGACGAGAAAGCACAAGAACTCCGGGGAAGAAGTGAAGTTAGTAACATGCATTAATGGTACATGAATGAGTGCAGAAAGAGAGAGAGAGGACTCACCTGAGCCAGCCCTAACTATATTATTATATTATTAATTGGAGTGTTTTAATGGACTTATTGAGACAACCTGATAACAAAGAGTTACAGTAATCCAGCCTAGAAGTAACAAATGCATGGATTAGTTTTTCTGCATCTGTCTGTGATAGGATGTGTCTAATTTTTGTAATGTTAGGTAAATGAAAGAAGGCAGTCCTAGAGGTCTGCTTTATGTGGGAATTAAATGACATGTCCTGATCAAGGATAACTCAAAGATTCCTGACAGTGGTGCTAGAGGCTAAGGTAATACCATCTAGACTAACTATATCTTTAGACAGTGAGTTGTTGAGGATTTTTGGGGCCAAGTACAAGAACTTTAGTTTAACATCAGAAAATTGCAGCTCATCCAGGATTTTATGTCCTTAAGACATGTTTAGATTTAGAATTTAGATAACTGACTAATTTCATCGGGCTTGATCGACAGGTATAACTGGGTATCATCTGCATAACAGTAAAAGTTAATGGAGTGATACCTAATAATGTTGCCTAAGGGAAGCATATATAAAGTAAATAGTATTGGTCCAAGTACAGAACCTTGTGGAACTCCATGACTGACTTTAGTATTTATTGAAGATTCATCGTTAACATGTACAAACTGAGAACGATCTGATAAATATGACCTAAACCAGCTTAGTGCAGTTCCTTTAATGCCAATTAGATGCTAAAGTCTCTGTAAAATAATATTATGGTCAATGGTGTCAAATGCAGCACTAAGATCTAATAATACAAGTACAGAGACAAGTCCATTGTCGGAAGCACTCAAAAGATCGTTAATAACTTTTACCCAATTTCCCTCCAGGGATTAATAAAGTCTATCTATCTATCTATCTATCTATCTATCTATCTATCTATCTATCTATCTATCTATCTATCTATCTATCTATCTATCTATCTATCTATCTAACCAGAGCTTTAAGGGTAAGACTTCTTTAAGCAGCCTAGTTGGGATGGGGTCTAAGAGACAGGTTGATGGCTTTGATGTAGAAATTATTGAAGTTAGTTGATGCAGCTCAATAGCAGAAAAACAGTCTAAATATATATCTGATTTTACATTTGTTAAAATTCCTGAACTTGGAGAGACAGCCACACATTTTTAAACAGGAGAATGTAAGAATCACATTAGGCCTTCAACCTTAAGGTACTTTATAAAAGTTCACCTTTATTCATACACACATTATACACATAATTCTTTGTCAGAGCCACAGAGGGCCACTAGAGGGCCTCATGTGGCCCCGGATCAGTAGGTTGCCTACACCTGATATAGAAAGGAACATGTGACTTTTACATGTATATTGCATTTGGGAGTGACTGTTTTTTGTATTTTATTTTATATTTATTTAGATCCTAATTTATCAGACAGAGATTCTGAGTTTAAGCTGAATTGATAAATGAACTGTGCAGGAGTCTTGAATGAACAATGTAATATAAGGTTTGTGATGGGTTTATTGTTTTGTTATTAGTTATTAGTTGATGTTTCGGATATGTCTGATACCATCCTAACCTCCCCACTGAATGGAATTAACTGTTGAAACAGATTTCTGGATCCTGTGTTTACACACTGCCATCAGATGTTCTGTGAGCCAACGCCACCATTGCAAAAGCTTTTTCTCTCATGTCAAGTCATTGGGAGGATAGGGAGTACATACATGTTACACGTTACATATAATTAAGTTACATAAAAGGTGCCTGGCCATTGAAATGCTTGCACACAAAATAAATGTGGAAAATCCAATGCATTGGTGTCTTATTTAAAGTAAGAGACTAAAATAAGAGACAATTTGAGTCAAAAAGTTTCCATAAAGAAATAAAAATGTTGGTTACGTGTTGTATTTCTGGTTTCATGTTTCGTGTTTAAATGATTTTTTTTTGTGTGTGGTTAAAACAAAAGGGTGAAATGACAAGAACAACAAAGGACAAGCCAGCTTCCACCCTGAGAAATACCTGTTTTTGAAGGTGACCCTCTAAAATTAAACACAGTCACACAAGCCTTTAAACACTGTGTGGAGGAAGGAACTGCATGTATTATCTGGAAAGGTCCACCAGAGGGCGACATCGAGACCTTGTACAAAGCTGTTCACACATGAGTGCAGAGAGAGGCTTTGAAACAGCCAAAGCTCTCCTGGCCTGCTGTTAAAGCTGAAACTGTGTCATTGCTCCATGGATACACTTTGTTTCTACGTGGATGCAACAATGTCTGTCCTTTTTAAACTGAGAGAAAGGTTCAGAAGCATGAGAATGATTGTTAGAGCGAGTGGTATAGCCCACGAGACAGGTGGGTTGTTTTTGTATAGACCGACATAGAGGGCTAACATAATGCTTTAGTAGTTACTGAGTATTTATTATTTGTGCCCCTTATTGCACAGATGTAATCTCCACAGTCTTACCTTCTGATAAGCCCAGAAAGTGTCAGCCACTGTCTACAACAGTTGTTTCCCAGAAGTGAATGGTAGACGTGGAAACTGCTGGACCATAGTTAACCCATAATTACCTTTCCACTACCTGTAAACTACCACAAACAGGTGGAACAGAATCAATGGACCGTATCAGCCAATATCACTTACTGTTGAATCACAACTCTCTCCTCCATCTGCATCACTGCCACTCCTCACTGAACCACTCCCCCAAGATTATATATCTCCCCCTTCAGATCTGACCTTTTCACCTTTTAAAATATTATTTGGTTAATGGTGGTATATGTTGTTTGAACTGATTATTAGGTATCAGTAATTGTATTGGATTACACTTTTTTAGGTCGGCTGCCCCTCCAAACCCTGCTCTTTTATTGCCTACTTCCTCATTTTATATCAGAGAGGAAGAGAACAAAAGGTCAGTGAGAACCAACATCACTGTGATAATTTCATAATCTTTGACCATTACAACAATGTGCAGATTACTTTATGGGGAAATGTTCTATGTTGTTTATGTTGAGGGATAATTCCCAACGGGGGACGTTTGCCTCCATAAAGTCCATTAATTCCTGATTATTGACACCTGAAAGGACATTATCCCTCTTATACCATGAATTTACTAGAGAAAAACAAATAAGATCAATACTTTGTGTTTAAATTAATGTAATGTAACATCGAACTACCGTCTATTCAACTTATCCTGGAAAAACAACCTGCTGCTATTTTGTTTAATGCAAATGATGTGCTGTATCTATTTTACCTGTCGAGATCAGCAGCAGCTGATTTGACTGAACTTGTCACCACAATATCCCCACACTGTTTGAAAATCACACAATTTTAGAGTTTGCGTTTTGCGTGAGGAGAAACTTTATAAATTACATTTGGGAAACCTAAGTTATTTCTTATAAAGAAAGTGTTTGTGTCACAGCTCACTCACAAAAGGAGAAAACATACAATCTGGACAACAAACGAGACGCTAATTATCAGTAAATCACATTTAAAAAATACATGAAATGATTGTATTTAATCCATCTACCATTTTCCTGCATTCATGTGACACAAAGTGTTACTGTCATTTCGTGCTCTATAAAAGACATTGCAGACACTGATCCCAGTAAAGGTTACAGTAGAACATCTGGGAATAAAGGATTAACTCAACCCAATATGTCCAGCTAATCAACATTTAAATGCAATACCTGATCAATAATCTTACATTACAGAGCTGTAACTAATCTTTACTGAGAGACTAGACAATTATCTTGCTCTAAAGTATTGTGTGTCTGTGAGGAATGCAGTCACACCCATATGTTGTCTGGACTGATTCCAGACCCGTTATGGCTGAGTTCTCAGTTGACAGCAGGGAGCTGAAGAACCGGCTCTGTGGGTGTTGACACTGAGTGACATTGAACACCTTTACCTGTAATGTGCAGGGTGAGGGTGGTTGGGTGCTATTTTTGGTTTAATAGATGTGATTACTTTAATTCTGAGTTTTTGCACATTGTTTTAGGTCGAGTCTTTTCTTTAATTAAAGTTATAAATGCTTTTTTTTATCTTAACAAATCTTTTTGTCAGCTTGACACAAGATCTCAGTGTCTTTCAGTTTCAGTTTTAGTCTTTTTAGTTTTTTTCTGAATTCTCCTCCAATATGTGTAAGAGATCATCAACAGAGGACTCTGACACAGTTTGAGTTTATGGTTTTTACTGCAGAGGGTTTTTCATAAAGCTACAGTTAACTGTTTCTGTAATCAGACAGCTGACAGAGTTCTTTGTTTATGTCAGAGAGAGAACAACATCAACAACAAACATCACAGTGGAGAGTTTACCTCAATCAATCTGCAGGTAAGAGTCGTTTAGTACTTGAAGTAAAAGAAGTAAAACTTGAATGTTAAATACTGGATATGTGATAATTTCACAATCTTTGACCATTATAACAAGGTGCAGATTATTTAATGGAGAAATGTTCCGTGTTGTGTTCTGGGGCGGGAAAGACAAATATATATAAATACATGTGTGTAACTTAGAGACAACATACACTATATAAAGATATTTATCTTTAATCTTTAATCTTTAGGTTTGCACATGTACAGTTTAGTTTTTCAAAAACTGCTGTATATATTTTTAATTTATAGTTTTATATTTTCTATTATATTTTGTTAATATTCTTATTTTGTGATCCTTATTGTTCTTCCACTTCTGTACTTTTGCACTACATTTCCCAATGCTGCTGTGTCTGACTTGAATTTCTCCTACGGGGGATCAATAAAGGTAAATCTTATCTTATCTTATAAAATATCCTAACAAACCGTCTGAGATCTGTTTTGTCCTGTCTCAGTCTACACTGAGTCTCTCTCTCCCTTTAAAAGTGTCCTGCAGTGTTTGGTGCTTCAGTGCAGCCTTTACCTGAGTTACCTGAATGAACTATAATAATAATAATAATAATAATAATATTTTATTTGTAAGCGCTTTTCTGAATACTCAAAGACACTTTACATGAAATCATAAAAGCAGCGAAAACAGCATCAAATAGTAAAAACACTGAAAACACACCGGACTAAGCTAAACATTAAAAGCAATTTTAAAAAAGTGAGTTTTTGTCAGAGATTTGAACGCTGGAAGGTCGATGCAGTCACGGATTTGTTTGGGGAGAGAGTTCCAGAGGGAGGGGACAGCAATGGAGAAGGCTCTATCGCCCCAGGTTCGGTGCTTGGTCCTGGGTGGTGGAGACAGAAGGTTTGCGTCAGATGAGCGGAGGCTGCGGGATGGGTTGTGGCGGTGGAGCAGGTCAGTGAGGTAGGAAGGGGCCTGGTTATGGAGGGCTTTGTGTGTGAGGAGGAGGATTTTGAATTGATTCGTTGTGGGACCGGGAGCCAGTGGAGGTTCTGGAGGACAGGGGTGATGTGGTCACGGGTGTGGGTGTGGGTGAGCTGACGAGCAGCAGAGTTCTGGATGTACTGGAGTTTATTAAAGGTTTTGGATGGTGTGCCGTACAGGATGCTGTTGCAGTAGTCGATTCTGGAGGTGATGAAGGCATGGATGAGGAGGAGAAAGAGAGTGATGGGCGGAGTCGGGCGATGTTTTTGAGGTGGAAAAAGGCAAACTGTATTCTGCTTGATGTTTATTGTCCTATCACTATCATCCTATCCAATCATTCAGGGACAATGACGTGACTGATCACCATCTTGTCTTGTTGTTAAACATAATGTCAAACTATATTCACTGTTTGTTGACTGTACGCAGTGTTATTCAATTTGACTAGAATAAAGTTAGTTCTGTCTCGTAGCTGAGCAAAAGCGCTCTCTGAGCTATGAGACAGTGAAACCAAAGGAAACTAAAAACAGCTCTAGAGTTTCTGCCCTGTTCAACCTCTTTTTGCACTAAAGACATTTGTTTAATTTGTGTGTTGTTATTAAACTACCAGACTGAAACTTTTTTCATTTTCAGGAGTCCAAGATGCTGCTCATTGGACTGTTCTTCAGGACCCACATTGCTGTGCTTGTCATCATTCTTCTAATACAGAGTTTAACAGGTAGTTTCCACACAAAACAATAGCACAGTGTATGTATGTGTGTTTGTGTAACATTTTCATGTTAATCCACCTGATCATTGTTGAGACATTTCACATTGAACGAAGGTCAACAGATTTAACACTGGGAAACATGAATGTGTGAACAACATTTAATGAGACCCAATGCAAAATTTCCAACCTGATACAGGACTGTTTAACATTTTACTCACAGTCTCACTCTTCAGTTACACATAATGTCACATATTGACTGAGGGAAAAAAAAACTGTAGTCAGGAAGAAATAATTAGAAAGAGAAAAAAGACTTGATGACATGTATTATAACTATACTACTGTTTCTTGTTTGTTCTTTAGTTTGCGTTGCAGAGCAGTCAGAGTTGATTTGTTCACATCAACCAATCGTAGCCCTGGCTGGTGATGATGTCATTCTACCATGTTACCTTGATCCTCCAATCAATGCCAGTTCTGAGACAGTGGAGTGGACCAGACCTGGTTTAGACCCAAAGTACATCCATATTCACCAAGATGGACGACTGATTTATATACATCAAAATCCATCTTATTATAACCGAACGAGACTGTTTGTGGATGAACTGCAGAATGGAAATGTCTCCATGAAAATCTTCAAAGTGAAAATCTCTGATGCAGGAAAATACTTTTGCTTCCTTGAATCAATGTTGAAGAAAGCTTCCATCCAACTCACTGTTGGTAAGTCAGACTTTCTGAAGATGAACACTTTAAAATATAAAGTCGGAGTTAAATCAACATTGACTGGAAGAAACATTAAAGGTGTCCTGTGGA